AGTGCAGCGTAAGAAGGTGGTCCTGAGCGCGCGGCCATGATCTGTGCTACTCAGGGTCTTGATGTCCCTCCGTTACAGGTGCTGCGTGGGCACCTCCTCCCCTGTCAGCCCTGGAAGCCCCCTCGAGGGCCTCACACCCTCCTCACCCTACTGCTCTCTCCAGGGCACACGCTCCACCCAGTACAGGACCTTCAAGGAAAGGAGCAAGAACAGACACGGTGCTGGGGGAGCTGTGGCCAAGCCTCACACGGCTCAGCACACACTCATGCACACACAGAAGGGGAGTCCACTGTCCCAAGAAGCCCAGCCCTCACCACCCAGCAGTACAAGCAGCTGTTTCCCACCAACCACTACTGTTACCGTCACTGGTGACAAATGGTGACTCGCCTGTTCAGCATGCCTCGTTTCTCCCCCTGATCACGGGAGAAGCGATCCACAACAGGCTTCTCGGACCATGGCACCTGCCTAGAAACGCTCTCCGAGCATGCTCCGCATGTTTCTTTTCTTTTTTTGGCTTGTTGGGAACCCAGGCTGCTCTACCACTGAGCTACATCCCAGCCCTTTTTATTTTGAGGCAGGGTCTTGAACTTGCAATGCTCCCACCTTGCCTCCCCCTGGACATCATGGGTACTGTTCAAATGGAATGCGCTCAAGGAGCCCTCGGCGCTGTCCTCTGCAGTGGTGTCTGGCAGAGCTGGGTGGAGGCCCCGTCACACTTCTGCCCCTGGGCCAGTTCCACCACCACTCAAATCAGGCCAGGGCTTGGGCCCACTTCACCAGGATGGGGGATCCTGGGGGAAACCTCGGTGTGCCCACCCCTCTCCCAAAGACTTGCACAAGCCAGTAAGGAAAGCGCTGGGAGCCCAGGTCTTCGCCCACCCGGGTCCTGGAGCGGGCCTGAGCGCCCACACTTGGGCTGGGCCCACACTGTCTTTGCCCTGCCTGGAGACGTCAGTGTGTCTTTTCCTGGACATCCGTGGCCCCTGGTGTGTTTGTTCTGACCCTGTGGTGCCCAGGACTGGGGCTGGGAACCCTGGTGCTCAGCTTCCCTGCCTGGCTCAACCCAGTGGGACAGAATTCTTCTGTCTGTACCAGTGATGACCCTCTTCTGTCCCTGGTGGCAGCAAAGGCACCTAGCACAGCCTCTGTACCTCTGAGGCCCCTCGAGAGAGCGGCCTGCTGGTCTAGCCCTGAGCCCCCGTGCAAGGCCCCAAGTCGTTCCTTTAGTCCAGGGCAAGGCCTGAGGACGGCAGGGGTGGGAGGCACCCAGAGGGCTGGGAAGCTCCGGGGGGATGCTGGGACGCTGCTGAGAGGGAGGCTGAGCACACAGCAGTGGAGTGGCACAGTGGTGTGGACCCCAGGATGCCAGCTGTGGGGTCACAAAGGCTTCCAGCCCCACAGAGGACAGGCAGGTGTGACTGGGGGAACACAGAGAGCTGGCTGGGAGTGGGAGAGGAGGCCCCCAGGCCATCCCAAGGCTGTGGCCCTCAGGCAGTGTGGACAGCGGCTGGGCCTGCACTGGAGTACTCCACCCGTAACAGACACTTGCCATCAGCTCTCCATTTTGAGCACATGCCAGACTGCCTCACCTGCACGGCAGTGACAGGGTTCCCAGCTTGCACAACACCGGGAGCCTGGGGGCGGCGGACCTGGAGCGCAGCCAGGCCCAGGTCCACATGCTGGAAGCCTTGGGGGAGAATGTTCCTTTCTGGGAAGTCTCTGGGGCCACTGCTGCTGCTGGCCCAGGGACTCCCAGTTGAGGTCCCCGAGCTAACCCTTCCTCTTGGGGGAATGTGGACTGACCCAGGACTCGGTCATATGGGAGCGCTCGGGGAAGGCCTGATAGCCCGACATCGGAGGCAGCGGCTGCTATGACCCGAGTGCCTCTGCTCACAGGGAGGCGGCTTGATGGACGGAACCTTGACCTTCCCCCTGCTGCTTGGCTCGCGTCTAGTGGGAGCCTGTCCCATCCATCTGCTTCCACCACGTGGTTCTGTGACCCCAGGAGATTCCCAGACTCGGGGAAGAGAAGCGCCATCTCTCATCCGAAGCCAGACTGAAGGAAAACTTCACGGGGAAGGCCTTTGGGCTTCTTAGAAACAAAGACAGGGTCTCGCCTGTGCCTAAGCTGGACTTGACCTTCGGGGCTCAAGTGATGCTCCTGCCTTGGCTTCCTGAGTGGTTGGGAGGACAGGTGTACTGGCTTGTTTTTCCTCTTATTATAGAGAAAAATTTTCAGGCCACACCTGTGTTCAATGATTCTCTTGTCTTCCTCTTGAACTTTTTAAAAATACTTTTTTAGTTGTATGTGGACCACAGTACCTTTATTTTATTTATATGAGGTGCTGAGGATCGAACCCAGTGTCTCGCATGTGCTAGGCGAGCGAGCATGCGCTTCACCACTGCTGAGCCCTAGCCCAGCCCTTCTCTTATTTGAATGTGTAATTAATCCATTTGAACCAACACCTTGGGACTGGGTGCCTGGCAGAGACTGCATCTTTCCACTGTACTGTGAATAGAAACATTGTTTTGTGCAGTAAATGTTTAAATCAGAGTATTTAAGTTATTCTATTTTAAAGTGTATTAGAAACTAGACACTTAGAGGAAGTCGGTTGGTGAAGTGTAGAATTTCAAGTTCTTCAGTTGGGAGTCTAAGGAACAGATCCTGGCTCTGAGGCCCAAGTGCAGGGTGCCCGGGGCCTGGTCCTGAGAGCTCTGCCCGTCTGCCTGAGTCTGCACCTGGGCTCCTTACCCACCCCTCCCAAAGGTAGCCACTGCGTTACCAAACACAAGGTAGCCAAGACCCGCCGGCTGGCGGGGGGTGGGGTGAAGCCTGCGGGAGGGCGGAGGCAGACAGGGGACTGGAGCTGCTGCATCTGGACCCTGATTTATTCAACCCTCCCATGAGAACAGCTGCCATCACACCTTCCAGCTCTTCTCTGGGAGGCTTACAACGAGTGACTGAAGAGGGCAGCCTCCAGGAGGAAGCCGGGCCCCTTGTGGGCACACAGCACTGTGGGGCTGGAGGTCGGCCAATGGCGCGGCGCTCTGGTCTGATGGTGGCCCTGGCTCCAGCGCAAGGCGGCACTGAGCCTGGCAGAGTGGCAGCAGCACGTGTGCCCGGTGTTCACAGTGCACAGAGGTCACTGGTGTGGGCCAGGACACCCTGCCCTGGTGGGCCTAGGCCAGCTTGAGGCACTGTGTGTTGAAGCTGTCCCCTTCCTTGCCCGCAACGGCCTCGAGCAGGCTCTGCTTCTTCTGCACGCTCCGCGAGGACTCCAGCTCATACATGGTGGTCAGGTTGAAGAGCACGCTCTCATGCAGGTAGTGCTTGGGGTCCTGCTGGACCATAGCCTCCAGCTGCCGCAGGGAATCCTTGAGTTTGCCCAGGTAAAGCAGACACACAGCCGCATTGTTGTTGGCCTGAGGGACAGGAGACATGCAGAGGCAGCAGGTCACCCGCCATCGGCTCCCACTGCTACCTTGGGCCCTGGCAGAGCCTAGACCCTTGCTTCACACCACCCAGGGCCCAGGGCCCTCTGCAGCTGCCCGGTGCCAGCAGTCCCACAGAGTCGAGGGCCTGGGTTTGCCAGGATGCCCACTTCTTAGTCCCCAAGACCTGAGGCTCTGTGTGTCCTAGGTCTGTTCTTGGGATTCTTACCACTGCATTTGTGGGTTCCATCCTCAAAATCTCTGTGAAGAATCTATGGGCTTCCGCAAAGTTGTTCTGGCCGAGGTAAAGGAAGGCTCTGTAACACAAGCACAGGGAAGCAGGGAGCCCCCACACGATGGCCTCAGACATGCACCAGGGGACAGGAGCACCTGCTCTTTAGGGAGCCCCTGCTCAGACGGAGGCTGTGCCCTCCCGGCCGTGGACCACACTGCACGTGCTGGCTAGCAACCACAGCTCCCAGCTGTAACTGAACCTAGAAACCTGCTGAGAAAACTAGCCCCTGCCCTGCCCCATGTCCACTTCTGACTTCCCGTATGCCTTTTACTGGCTGCAGGTTCATCCTAATGAACACACGCACCCAAAGCTGCCACATTTCACTCATGAAAATGGTTCTTAGGGACTAGGACAGGTTCCCACGGTGGGTGTGCCAGGGACAGTGTGGAAACAGGGCCACACGAGCAGTACTTTGAAGAAAACACTTCGTTTTTATGGCTGCCATTCTAGAAGACACCAGTATGCCTCCAGGCCGGGACTCTGGGCCTCAGCTCGGGGTGGAGCTGGAGAGGGACGCGTTCATTGGGGAGAGAGGCTCGCAGGGAAGCTGACACACGCATCCTCGGTGTAAATCATTTACCTGTTCATTAAAACCATTATTTTACCCTGCAGTCCATCCAGTTTCTGTGTTACTTTCTCAACATCTTGAAAATACTTTTCAGCTGTTTTTATGTCTCCAATCTGCTTAGACAAAACCATCTTGTTAGTGGACAAATTAGAGCTATTAAAGCTACCCCCACATACACAACACAGGCCAAAGAGCCTGTAGGCCACGCCATGCTTCTTCCACTTCCTCCAGAAGGGCTGACATAAAGCCGTTCTAGACTGCAGAAATGCAGGCGTTGCCTTGATGTGGGGTTTGAACACAGTAGCCACACGCTGTGGGGACTGAGGCCATGTGTGTCCGAGGCTGGCTTCTGTGAGGCTCTTTCAAGAATCTGCCATGGCTGAGGCTGCCTGTGAGCCCTGAGTACTGACCCAGTGCCACATGCCTTAGGACAGAGCCTTGCACTGGCTTTCCTGTGTCTGTCAACTGGGATCCTTGTCTAAAACAGCAGAGTCAACCCTGCTGGATCTAACTCTGGAACCCCCTGGCACCCCAGCCCCCGTGCTGTCCTCTTCCCTGACCGCCTCTTGCTCTTGCCCTCTGCCCTGACTGCTTCTTGCTCTTACCCTCTACCCTGACTGCCTCCTCTTGTTCTTGCTCTCTATCCTCACCACCTCTTGCTCTTGCCCTCTAACACTGCTAGGCACGTCTTTTGATCTGTCCTGAGAACACAGAGCACCAGTAGGATGGCTCTGGAGAGCTGAGCTGGAAGATTTCTTCTGGTTTGTTCAATACTAATCGCAACGGGACGGTTCCTCACATTCTCCACTTCAATGTCTCTGGTGAAAATTCCTGCCAACTCACTCTGAGCACCCCTCCTTCCCCACGTCTAAGGCAGTGGCTTCACAGTCAAGTCAGAACCGCTGCAATGGCCACACCAATCAGAGCTAATTTTGAACCATTCCTTGTATTGACAGACTTGCTGCGAATGAGGCCCTGCTTGGGCGGGGCAGCCTGGCTCTGCCCTGGAGCCCCTGGGAGCACAGGTACCTGCAGGAGGATGCGGCCGATGCCACTCAGCAGCTGTGGCTCCTGCTCTGGGTAATACTTGATGACCATGCGGTATGCATCCACAGCCAGCACGTAGTCCTGTGGAGAGACCCGAAAGCTCAGTGTGAGCTACAGACACCACTCTGTCTGCACATCAGGAAGAGCACAACTACCCATAACACACATGTGGAGTGAGGACACGCAGCTCTGAAGTGGGGCTCTGAGCTGAGTCAGTTGCATGTTCTTTTGTCACTCAGGGGCACAGGGTCAGTGTCCCTCTCCTGCCTTCCAGGGAACAGCTCATCTCTGACTTTCTCTCCCACAGACTACAGAGTGGACCAGCATCACCATTCCCCAAACACAATCCATATTTCCCATACTAGAAATTGAGGCAAACATCAGTGTTTATAGCAGCTCAATTCACAATAGCTAGACTATGGAACCAACCTAGGTGTCCTTCAATAGATGAATGGAAAAAGAAAATGTGGTATCTACACTCAATGGAATGTTACTCAGCTTTAAAGAAGAATGAGATTAAGGCATTTGCTGGTAAATGGGTGGAGTTGGAGAATATCATGCTAAGAGAAATAAGTCAATCCCAAAAAACCAAAGGCCAAATGTGTTAGCTCTAACATGTGATGCTAATTCACAATAAGGCTGGGGCAGTAGAGAATAGCGTTACCATAGATTAGGTAGAGGGGAGTGATGGGAGGGCGCGGGAGCGGATGTGGGATAGGAAGGGTGGAAGAATGAAACAGAGGTTGTGCTTTATGTATCCACATGACTGCATAACTAATGTGACTCTACGACATGTACACTCAGAAACATGGGAAATTATATCCCATTTATGTAGGACACATGAAAGTGCATAGATGCATTCTACTATCATGTATAACTAATTAAAATAAAGAATAAAAATGTTTTAAAAAAAGAAATTGAGGCAAAATCCCTACAGTCAAATAAACAACTCACAAGTCAACTTTGCAAGGAGGGCAAGCCTGACATTCCATGTCGTTTTTCCACAGCGGGACACCTGAGTGCCACCTGCTCTCCGCAGCACCCAGGAAGCTCCTGCTGTTGTAGACACTGCACAGGGGCCCTGAGAGAGGCCTTGTGGCCACCATGTTTGGCATCTGCACTCTGCACAGGACCTCAGCCTTCGTGCCTCTTGAGTCTGTGCGTCTTGAGAAACAGGCACCCTGCCCCTGCCGCGGTCCTTCCTCCAGGCAGGGCCTGTCTGCCATTGACCTGTGAGAGTGGCGGAGTGCGCCTCCAGGTGTT